TCCTAGTATCGATACTCCCCTTATTGGTCCTGAGGTGTTTATCTGTCCTGGATTCCCTGTGTTGCAAGCTCTTATCTGTATCAGTATGCATGTACTGCTCTAGCCAGATTTGTAAGGTAGAATCGGGGTCATGATAGTGGTGGTGTGGAGGGAGGAAGCATTAAAGAACTAGAGCAGTGGTTCTCAACCTTCCTAATGCTGCAACCCTTTAATACAGTTCCTCATGTGTGGTGACCCCCCCAACCATAAAATTATTTTCATTGCTACTTCATAACTGTCATTTTGCTACTGTGAAGGACCAGGTGACACCTGTGAAAGGGTCGTTAGACCCCCAAAGGGGTTGTGACCCACAGGTTAAGAACCGCTGAACTAGAGGAAGGTTGTGTGTTTCGGTGTTATACTGCACCCTGACTGGATCGTCCTTTATAAATATATACACACCAAAGCATCTTTGCACTCCACAATCTCTACAAGGAAATTTTCATGGCATTCATGATATTCTTTATGTCTAACCATTACCACCATTCTTGTCCAAATTGTTCTACTGCCAGGAACAGCAACTCATTGCCCCCTCTGCAGGAATTTCCCCTTTGTCTCTCCCACCCTTGGTAATCGCTGCTCATAATCTCTGCTTTTAAAAAGGTATTTGCTTCCCTCATGTAAGTGAGATGATGAAGTGTTGGTCCATTTGTTACTGACTGACTTATTTCCCTATGCACCGTGCCTGCAGGGGGGTCCCTGTTGTGGCACACACCAGGACTTTGTTTCTCTGTAAGGCTCAGGGGAATCCCCTTGCATGCACACACCACCTTTTCTGTCTCCACTCAGCTTTGATGGACTTTCTGGTTGTTTGCCAAATACAACTCAACCCCTGCCTCTGCTCTGTCTAGCAGATCTGGGCGCAAGCATGAACTCACCCACCTCCACACTTTACCTTTGTCCAAAATCTTTTGTCCCTGCCCTATTTCCCAGCACCCACCCTGACTCCGTTCACCAAGACACTCCTGTCACAGAGTAAAGTACTCAGGGGTCTGAGAATAAGGCCTGAAGAACACTTGCAAACCCAACGTTTGTTTGCAAAGTCTCATGTTTTAATTTATAAATCATGCAAATGTTGCATCTTAGCCTCGAGCACAACTGTGTTTGTTTTGATATGGATATGAGTAAAACGGAGGGTTCAGGAGGATGTGCCATGTTTAGCCTGTGGACTCTTTGATGTCTGACCCCGCTGGGTTCCTTGTCCCCCAGGGGACCACAAAGGCCAGTGTAAGCAGCTACAGGGCAGACCCTCATTATGCCCCGCATAGTCATAGTTCTTTCCTTCTGTTCCTAGCCCATTTTTTCTACACTAATGTTTTCCAAAGGAAAAAGGACTCTCTCTCTCTCTCTCTTTTTGTCTGTGTGTGTGTGTGTGTGTGTGTGTGTGTGTGTTGGAAGAGGATGCCTTCTAAGCAAATGAAATCAATAGATTTCTTAACTTTAAGAAGACAAATAAGCAAATGTAAAAGTTCAAAGCTGGAGGAATAACTTATTGTATCCCCTGAACGTATCTCCAGTAGGACCCTCTGGGACACCTTGGAATCTTCCTCCACTCACCTGTTATATGTTCACACTTTATTGTGTGATCGTCCCTCTAACTGGACCATTCCTCCTGATGATCCATTTATCTTGCATGCCTGTTCAAATATCTCCTTGGTGAAATTTCCCCCACATTTCTTGGTAGGCAAATGTAATCGCTTCCTTATCTCCCGTATGAGAATGCTTATCACATGGCAATTTATGTGGTCGGGTATGGTCTCTCCTCCTGGAGTTTGAGTTCAGGGGCAGTGATGACCAGTCTGCATCCCCTCTTCATCCCCAGCACCCCCACAGTGCCCCGTGGGTGGGGGCTCTGAGTCCATTTAGAGTTCAGGCAGGAGTTTAAAACTGTCAGAATTTGTGCCACACTCTATGGATCTGCATTATGCTGTTTCATTCTTCATCTTTTTAGGTGATAAAGCCACTGGAGCAAATAGGTGCCCCCTGAAAAAAGAAAGAAAAAAGGTTTAATCCATCAGAATTGGAGCCCTGGCCAGGGTAAACTCCTACCGGCACCATGTGTGGTCAGCAGCACCCTTGTGACTCTGCTGATAGCCATGGTCAGCCCTCAGTGAGCGCTGCAGAGCTGCCGGGCTCTGGGCTCCACCGTCTCAGCGCCTCTGTGCTCTTGGCATGGTCGCAGTCAGGGTCCTCTAGAGGACCAAAGCCAGCGATATCTACATGTTATCCTTACATGTAATATATAACGCATTTCCTCACACATACGAGGGGACTTCAGAAGGTTTGGGGAAAGTGGAATAAAATGATCAAGGATCTAAATAAATTTTATTTCTTCACATAAGCTCCCTCAAGGCCAAGGCTCTTTTCTAAGTGATGGCACCAGCCATTCTGTTCAAAAGAGTTCTAAAGCACAGAAGGCCGTGGGAATTTAGCCATGGCAATGTCATCTTCTTTACATGATTGCTCGAAGTGCAAGGAATGCCATTCTTTTTTTTTTTTTAAACAGTGTGAAACAAATAAACAACAGCAAAAAAATGTTTGATGGCGCCAAATTAGAATCGGAAAGTAGATGACGCAAGATTTCTTATCAACCCTCTGGCAAAAGTGCCCTTGTCTGATGAGAGGAAGGAGTAGAAGCTTTGTCCTGGTGGAGGATGACTCTGGTGAAGCGTTCCCCGGCTAACTTTCTCAAAACTCTCTCAAAGCAAGCAGAATGGAATCGCTCTGGGGCCCTGCAGAAAGCCAGTGAGCAAAATGGGTTGAGGGTCTCAGAGAACTTTTGCCAGGACCTTTCCTCCCGGTGAGTATGGCTTTGCTTGGACTGGCACGCTTCCGCCCGTTGGTGGCCACTGCTGTGTCTGTGCCCGAATTCTTAATGTTTTCAGGATGTTGGTATTCGATGCCGGGGAAACAGTTCCAACTCATAGTGACCCTCCGGAAACAGAATGAAACCGCCCCCTCCCCCGGTCCAACAGCAATCTCACGAGTGTTCCTAGTTGGAGCCCATTGTTGCAGCCACCGTGTCACTCATCTCACGGAGGGCCTTGCTCTTTCACCACCCCTCCACTTCACCTACCGTGATGTCCTTCTCCAGGGACTGGTCTCTCCTGACACCATGTCCAAAGTGATCTGCAGTCTCGCCATCTTTGCTTCCAAAGAGCGTTCTGACTGTACTTCCTCCAAGACCGATGTGTTTGTTTGTTCTTTTGGCAGTCCATGGTACTTTCAATATTTTTTCACCAGCACCACAGTTCAAATGCATTGATTCTTCTTTGGCCTTCCTTATTCGATGTCTAACTTTCACAAGCATATGAGGCGATTGGAAATATCATGTCTCGGGTCTGGTGCATCTTAGTCCTCAAAGTAACATCCTTGCTTTTCAATATTCTAGAGAGGTCTTGTGTAGCAGATTTGCCGAATGCAACTCATTTTTTGATCTCTTGACTGCTGCTTCCAAGAGCACTGATTGTGGATCCATGCAGGGCAAAATCCTTGACAACTTCAACCTTTCCTCCATTTATCATGATGTTATCTTCTGGTCCAGTAGTGAGGATTTGGGTTTTCTTTACATCGAGTCATAATCCACACGGAAGGCTGCAATCCTTGGTCTTCATCAGCAAGTGCGTCAAGTTCTCATTTTTAGCAAGCAAGGTTGTGTCATTTGCAATGCCAGCTTGTTCATAAGCCTTCCTCCAATGCTGATGCCACACTCTTCTTCATAGAATCCAGCTTCTCTGATGATTTGCTCAGCATATCGATTGAGTAAATATGGTGAGAGGATACAACTCTGATGTACACCTTTCCTGATTTTAAACCATGCAGTGTTCCCTTATTCCCTTTGCACAACTGCCCCTTGATCCATATTCGAGTTCCTCATGAGCACAATGAAGTGTTCTGGGACTCTCATTCTTCTCAAAACTATCCACAGTTTGTTATGATCCACACAGTCAAGTCCCTTCCCATAGTCAATAAAACACAAATAAACTTCTGGCTGCCTTCAGTATAGATGTCTGTCTTCAGGATTGTACTGGGAAATCATTGTCTCATCTTCTGTTATAATTCTTCCAAGAAATCCTTCAGGATCTTGATCCCACTTATTTAAAATTTTCATGAAAAACTGCTTTTGTCTACAGCCAGCCAATCTGGGTGCAACTGTTTTGGCACCATCCATTGGAAAGTTTGCTCAACTTTAATTTTCAGTCAGAATTATGTAAGCTGAACCAGTGGAGATGTTTACCATGTCGACTATTGTTTCTGGTGTTAATTGTCAGTCTTCTTTAATTAGGGCAACCAAGATTTCCTCATAAATTTTGAATGGCCTCCTGCTGTGAGCTTCGTCTTCCTGATTTGTTTATCCCTTCCTATCAGGAGTTGTCCATTTGTAAACCGTCTGTGTGTTTGGGGCAGTGACCCCATACACTTTCCCTAAGGCATCAGGGATTTCCTCATCCTTCCATTGGCCCTTCACCATACAGTTCGTGTTTGGTCAGACTTCAACCTTTGTGGAATTCATGTTGCTCTGACAGTGCCCTTTTCAAACTTTGCTCTTTCTCAGTGCCTCAAACTAGGTCCTGTTCAGACATGTTATAACAAGTTAGTAGACCTCTCATATATGACATATATGTGTACTTGTGGGAGAAAGAGGAGGCTTTCTGCTCCAGTGAAACTTAACGTTTCGTAAACTCTATATAAGGATGCTGAGTCAGAATTGACTTGACGGCAGTGGGTTTGGATTGAGTTTATAGAGAGAGAGAACAAAGACACATGAGAGAATGACTTCAAGGAATTGGCTCATACAATTTTGGACCTGGTGGCACATTTGAAATTTGTAGGTTCGGCATCAGGCTGGAGGCTCCTGCAGGCTTGCGTTTCATGGTTTGTAGGTCAAGTGGCAGAAAGAGGGCAGAACAAAGAGAGTGAGTTTGTCAAAATGTCTATTCAAAGTGGAGGAAAAGCTCACTCTAAGAAGGCTCCCTTTTACAACTGATTGATTATATCACACTGTTGTTGTTGTTGTTGTTGTTAGGTGCCATCGAGTCGGTTCCAACTCATAGTGACTCCATGTACCACAGAATGAAGCACTGCCCGGTCCTGCCCCATCCCCACAACTGTCCTCTCGTCGGAGCCCATTGTTGCCGCCACTGTGTCAATCCATGTCATTAGGCTCTTCCTCTTTTTCGACCCCCCTCTACTTTACCGAGCACAATGTCCTTCTCCAGGGACTGGTTTCTCCTGGTAATATGTCCAAAGTACATAAGATGAACTCTCACCAAACTTGCTTCCAAGGAGCATTCTGGCTGTACTTCTTCCAAGACAGATTTGTTAGTGCTTGGTATGTTCAATATTCTTTGCCAGCCCCCTAATTCAAACGCACCGATTCTTCTTGGTCTCCTTTTTTTCAGTGTCCAAATTTCACGTGTGAGGGAGGTGGTTGAAAATACCATGGCTTGGTCAGGCACACTTTAGCTTCCAAAGCAACACCCTTGCTTTTCAATATTTTAAACTCGGTAACATTATTGAATGTGTCAAGTTGCATGATGCTGTCTTATGTGACAACAACTGGAGTAATGTTGATGCTGTCTTATGTGACAACAACTGGAGTAATGTTGTCCAAGTCACCAGGAACCATCGTCCAACCAAGCTGACATACGCAATTGGCTATCACAGGCACCATGATCTATCCCATTTTGAAATGAAGAGACTCTGGGAGGACTTGCCCTGGCTAAGAATTAGTGGAATGAAGCTTCAAACCCAGACAATGATCTGTCCTCAGATCCTTGCGTGCTTGCTCCCCTGGTGGAGGCCCTCTCTAGTTACAGATGAGAAATCATCTGGTGAGTGTGGTGGATGCCAAGCAGACTCATCTGTGCCCGCCCCCCCCTCCCCGCAGAGGTGCCAGTCATACCATCACCAGGGGCATCGTTATTGCTAAGATGGCAAGAAAGATGTAAGAATTCTAAAATTCTTTGATTTAGGGGAGTCCATTTTGTTTTCTTACCTAGAAACTTTTTCCTCCCAGAGTTGAGATCAAATACCATGGTGAAGGTGATTTCTACATTCCCTGATGGGTGGCTATTAAACAGTGGACCAAGTGAGAAGGTCCAGGGACTTGGTCTTTAAAAAGAGTATGACAGCAGTGCTTCACTGCTTGGTTGGGAGCTTATGCTACAGGACAGATTATCTTGATGTTGACAATTCTGAGTGATCTCTCCTCGAAGCTCGCTAAAGTCTCTAGCATTCACCCTGTTGCCGCGGTCGTTTGTGTCAATCAACACAAGGAAAATGCTCTTCTTCCTCCTGTTGTGTCTTTGGGCCTCTGCTTAGCTCCCAGTGCCCCCATTCCTCGCTGACCGCAGCACACAGATGGTGTGATAGCTGGGCTCATTGGAATTGCAGAAGAGGACCACCTAGATTCTGTTGATACCAGTATTGGGGCCATGCAGCTTCCCAGGGGTACAGAGACACTACCTCAACCATCTTTACACACACCTGCTGCAGGAAGCAATGGCCAGCACCCCAGCACCGACAACAACCCAACCTTAGAACCATCTCGGGATGCTCAAATGTTGGAGAGGCTGCTGGCCCTCAGGAGGATCTCCTCACAGGGCTTTCTTTGAGTCCAGGCCTGGCACCCACCCTAGGTAATGGGCCAGTGGGTTGGCCATTCAGCCTTGGGGTGTGACCAGTCCGAACACTGGGGTGCTGAGTAAATGAACACCTCTGAGAGTCTAACAGAAAAACACCTCAGGCACATTTATTCATGGGTGCACAGGAACCATGGGCCCCAGAAAGGATATTGCCCAGAAGGGCCTGGAGAGGGTCACCACCCCCAGAAACTGTACTCTCTTGGACAGGGTGAGGCCTGTAAGATGCTGTCATCAATAAAATCATCCAGTAAGAGCTTGGCCGCTGTCCCCACTCATCCTCCACTTCCACTGCCACTTCTGCCCCATGTCCACCCTCAGGAGTCTTCCCAACATCAATGAAATGTTCCTACAGTGGCAGAGGAATGTAGTGATTCTGTGGTCAATCTTACTTCTCTGCGGGCTCCCGGGTTCCCGTTCAATTCTCTGATTACCACCTGGTTGCTAACTAAAAGGGTCAAACTCACCAGCGGCTCTGGAAAAGGTCTGGAAATCCACTCCCATAAAGATGTGCACCTGAGGAAAGGGCATGGAGCAGTTCCAGTGTGTCGTATGGGGTCACTAGGAGTTGGTATTGACTCCACAGCACATGACAATAACAACAACAATAAGCTCCTCTTGCACATTCACCCACTGTCTATCAGTGGGGGCTTGTGTGCTGCTGAATAGGTTTCAGTCAAGCTCCCAGACTCAGATGGACCAGGAAGAATGGCCTGGTGATCTTCCAGTAATTAAACTTGCTGCTACTGAGTCTGCGCTGACTCATAGCGATGCCCCTGTGGGTTTCTGAGACTGTATCTGTTTATGGGACTAGAAGGCCCAGTCTTTCTCCTGTGGAGCTGCTGGTGGTTTTGAACCGCCAACCATGCAGATCGCAACCCAATGTGCAACCACTATACCATCAGGGCTCCTTTAGCTAGTGAAAGCCTGGGGATCACACATGTGCATGGGGGGTCACCATGAGTCAGGAGTGGCTCCTGGGCAGCCAACAGCCACAACACCTGGAGACAGGAAATGCTGCTGCCAACGTCCTGAGGGACCCCTGCCCAGCCCTTCCTTTCTTTCATATAGGACCAAGCTTTGAGTCATTGGACACTTGCTTGTCCTCTGACTGGCATGACCACGTACTAAATGGCCCTTGTTGTGCCTGAGGTGGGGTAGAGATCACATTGCTATTTTGACCCTAGAGTGGGAAGTTCCAGGCTGGGAAATCAGAGCTATTAGACTAGTAGCTAAAGCCAGAGTGAACGAAAACCAGGGTATGATGAACACCTACAGTCTTTCCTTTAATCAATACCAGCCTCACCATTACACGTTGTATCTCCAAAGGTATCGGCAATTGTAGAAATTGATGGTTTTAATGATTTGTTTTTCCCACTTAGGCTTGGTTAATAATTCCTCTCCTCTCTCCCCTCTCCCCTCCCCTCCTTCATAGCATCAGTCAGGAAAAATTGTGTGTGGCCCCAGAGGTTAGATCAATGGACACATAAAATATACATGCCCCCTGATTTATTATTCCTTTGAAGACGTTAAAGGAACACAAAATAAAACATGGGGTAATATTCTTCCTCAAATTTATTGGAACCTCCAGCAAGATTAAATGGTCCCTCTTGTAGGAGGCCCAGCATAAAAAGATACACTAAAAGCTTTCAGCGAGCCAGGAGGACACAACCACCCCTATCTGTGTGGAAGCCCCTTACAGGGCCTTTTGTTTATTCTTCTGATGACCTCCCCTCTCTCGCTGGGGTCTCCAGTGGCCACCCGGTCACCATCCACAGCAAGTGCATCTTCATGGACTTGAGCTCTCGGGGGAGCAGGCGAAGGGTTGGGCTTTCAGCTGGTGCCGGGGCTACGGTAAGGAGCACACAGTGGTCATCAAGTTCCAGCAGAGCTGAGGGGAGAGTCAGCCCCCTGACTTCTTCCTCTCTTCTGACTTTAAGACAGAGGCCCCTCATGGGACCATGAGGAGGCCTCCTCTGTCTACCTTCCAGCATCCTGGTCCTCAGCACCTCTGGACCTCGGGAGTGTTCACAGAGGACAGAGCTGGGGCCTCCAGCCCACCCACCCCCTGTTCTCTATACCCTGGCCACTTCCAGGCACCCTCCAGAGGCATCCAAACTCGAAGCCAGCTTCTTGCCTCAATCCAAACGACCTTGGAGTTGGGGCAGAGAACGATCAGGGTGGGGAGCTAGTCCTGAGGATGGCCAACCCAAGTCTGAGGTTGGCCAAGAGGGAACATGGGCTCCTCCGGGCCTCCTGATGAAAAGGTCCCACCTGGGTCTCTTGCTTTGCCTTCCGGTCCTCCTGGGCATGGCGCTGGCTGCTGGCCTACACCAGCTGCACACACGGTATTGCCACGTGCGGACGCAGGTGTCCTCCAGGGAGTCCGCTGGGGGTGCCATCGCCAGGGGCGAGGGTGGTGAGCCTGCCCGGGTCAGGAGGGCAGGGGACAACAGCTTGGTTTTGACTCCCGCGGACTATAACTGGACCCCTCCTTCGGTGGGCAGCAAGATGGTCCTCCGAGAAGACCAAGTACCAGGTCTCTCGGGGGCCCTCCCTAGATGTGCCGAGAACAGAGCCCAGCTGGGCCCCCCATGAGAGAGCCATCCTGGAGGAAGCCGCGAAAGGACAGGTGTATTATCCGAGGGAGTTCTTCCCAAGCTTGGCTGTCTCCACATCTGCAATTTAGCTTCTTTTCCTGCTGTCGCCCCCCTCCCTTCTCAATTAGATGTGTTCTGTTTGAAGAGTTAAACGGAGCACAATGAATATTGTATAACCTGCTCATTAAGTAGGTTCCCGGGGCCGCGGAGCTTCCTCTGATGCCGCGAGGAGCCGCCGAAATAGACACACAGTCCCTCCTCAGTGTGTCAGCCTCAGCCTCATCTCTTCCACCTCTCGGAAAAGACCCCAAACAACTCCGGACAAAAGTCATGTTGGGCTTGTGTCTCTTACAAGGTAAAGATTCGGTCTGCAGTCCTCACTTTGTCTGCATTCCAGCTCGAGTTCTGATTCGGCTGACGTGGCGAATGCAGGAGGGGCGGGGTGGCGAATGCAGGGGGGACGGGGGCCCCCCACATTCCGTTTTCATGGAAACGCACCCAACCCGGACACTGATCAGAAGCAAGAAGCGCTTCAGAGAGCTTGATGGACCCCATGGTTGGAGACCCCCACACTGGCAGCACAAGGCCAAGAGCACTAGGGTGGAGTAAGCCAGCCTCCGCCTCTCCTTGTCAATGGCTCTGCAACCCCTTTATCTACTTAGACTTGATGCTGAGGTTGTGTGCCCCAATTGGGAGGAGACATGCCTATTATTCCCTTTAGCCGAAATGTTACTCCCCCAAATGATGATCAGTTTGAAGAACAGCTTCTTCTTTTATTTTTATTATTTCATTTTATTAATCATTTTGTTGGGAGCTCTTACAGATATTATAACAATCCATAATTCAATTAGATCCAGCATAATTGTACACTTGCGCCACCCTCATTTTCAAAACATTTTCTTTCTTCTTGAACTCAGTGGTATGAGCTCTCCTTTATCCCCTCCCTTCTCCACCCTCCCCCTCCAGGAACCCTTATCATTAAATTATATATTATTATTATTTGCCGCATCTTATACCATCCAGTGTATCAGTTCACCTCCAATTCTGTTATTCGTTCCCCTCGAGTCGGGTTACACAATCATCATTGCTATCGGTTCCCACTTCTTCCCTTACACCCATCTCTTCCCATCCCCTCAGGGAATAGCTTCTTCTTGTCTTCTCGGGTCAAGTCAGGAGGGAGCATCATGGACACGGACCATTAGACAACTCTGCTGGCTTCATGACCGTCGCCGATTTAGCAGCTACTCTGTAGATAATAAAACACTCGTTGTCATCTAGGAGATTCTGATCGTGGCGACTCCATCATGTCAGAGTAGAACTGTGCTGCGCTGGAGTGTCAATGACTGACCCTTTTCAGGAGATGGCCAGACTTCTCTTCTGAGACACCTCTGAATGCATGGACTTCAGCCTCCAATTGTTTGGCTAAGAGTTGAGTGTGTGAACCATTTGGACCACACAGGGTAATACAGTGGCGTGATCACCATAGATTTGAATACCACTCCAGAAGGGGTCCACCTGGTATGCCAAACCTAAACTCATTGACGTGGAGTTGATTCTGACTCATAGTGACCCTATCGGGCAGAGGAGAACCACTTCATAGGGTTCCCAAGCCTTTTTGGAAATGGACTGTCACCTCTTTGTCCTGTGGAGTGGCTGATGAGTTCACATGCAAAGCTCTGGGTTAGGAGCTGAGTGCTTAACCACTGAGCCGGCAGGGCTCCTGCACCCACGGGAGTACATTGGAATTGGCGAACTGTTTTTTCAGAGCTAAACCTACGGCAAAGTCACAATCGATTCTAACGTGGAAATAGAAACTATGAACAGTCAGGGAGCACTTTCCTGAACTGAGCGCCTGACCCCGCATAGATACAGTGCTAGGAACAGTATGTGCATTTTCATACGAAGCTACAGGAAGTTCAGTCATTGGTAAGAGGTATTCAGTGACACTCCCACAACAAGATGCATTAAAAATTTTTCGAAATTGAAAAGAAAAGCAAGAAGCAATAAATAAACCCAGAGTCACTGCAGTTGGGTTCACTCACAGGGAGAAACGAGTAGAACTGCCCTTAGAGGTTTCCGAGGCTGTCAATCTTTCCAGAAGCAGAAAGCCTCATCTTTCTCCTGCAGAGAGGCCGGTGGTTTTGAACTGCCAAGACATAACCTGCTAACTATGCCACCAGAGCCCTGAAGCTATTTGCTCCAGCTCCTTTGTCCTTACTACCAAGATGCACCCCGCCTGGACGCTGGGTTAGTCAGCTCTGTGCCCTGGTTTCAGTCCAGTGACTCAGCAGATACACTGTGGGTCCCAAAGCACAAGGACGCTGCGAGAAGAAGAAATGCCTGGCACTCTGTTGGGAGCCTCGGTTATTCCTCCTCCAGGCCCCAAACCCACTGCTGTCAAATCGATTCTGATTCATAACTACTCTGAGGAGGTTTCCGAGCCTGTAAATCTTTATAGGAACAGTCAGCCTCATCATTCTCTAGGGTGTTTCCCTGGCAGCACCACCTCGATGCCAACATGCCTCCTCGGAGACTCGCTCCCCACCATGCCAACACAAGACCCTTGGCTGTAGCTCCCCTTTGATCCCATTGCATTGGTGCCCAGTGTTCTAGGCACAGAGCATCCCGTCCAAGAGAGTCTTTTCCTGTGTCAACAGATTTTGTTAGTTATACTTTCAAAGAGTTCACGGAAAAAGAAAACTAAAAGGTAATGGAATGTTCCCTCATTTGTGAAGCCCCCTCATATATTGCTGTATAACACACTACCCCCAAACTGCAAAACACTCAAACTCCCTGCCATCGAGTCGATGCTGGCTCATAGCGACCCCATCGGACAGGGTGGAACTGCCCCTCTGGGTCTCTGAGACTAGCTCTTTATGGAAATAGAAAGCCTTGCTGGTGGATTTTCAGCCAACACACAACCACTACTGCCCGGCTTCTCCCACCCCACAGCTTACTGGTTTAAGGCCACTACCATCACTACCAGTTACGGGCTTTCATGATTCTTCATTTGCCTGGGCTCAGCGCAGCAGTTCTGAACTCTGTGTTGCCGAATGACGTGAAACATTCATCCCGCACAACTCAGTCCTATGGCCGGCAGGTGATGGTGGTTGGCAGCCTGAAGTTCGGTTTGAGCTGCTGGTGAGTGTAGGAAGCCGTTGGTTCCTCCTCTATCGGGAGCAAAGTGACTCGTTCCCAAGAGAGAGAGTGTTCCGAACCAAAAACTCAGAATCTGTGCAGCTATGGAGTTTCACTTCCTCCCCTTTCTGTTGGTCACCACAGGTCGCAGGGCCAGACTGCATAATTCAAAGAGAGCGGCCATAGAGGCCTTTTGTTTGTTTGTTTAATGGAAAGATTGAGGGAAGGATTTGTAGCTATCTATAATTCACTGCACTTAGATTCGCCTGCTGGTCTACCCCAGGTGTGCTGCCTGTGCATGCTGTTCACCACCGGGCTGGGCACCGTGGGTCACCTGGCCCGTGAGCATCAAAGGGAGTAAGGGAAGCATCACACATTCAGAGTGAGGAAGGTCCTCTCTCCTCTGTCCGGGCCTTCAAGCAGGAGGGTGAGGTGATGCAGAAAAGCCAGACAGCTCTCAGAGCCTCAGCATCCACAGCAGAGAAGAAAGCAGATACAATTCCTTACCCCTTTTAATTGTGAAGTTTGGATGGCCAGGTGAATGACACTTGAATTATGCATAACAAAGGTTCTCAAAGATGCTAGAGTGCTGTCGGTGTTTTCGGCCTGGGTGGCAGTTATATAATCTCCAACCGGATGTGGTAACACAGGCTGCACCGGGAGCAAAGGAGCCCTGGGAGTGTCGTGGTTACACATGGACCTGCTATCTACAAGGTCAGAGGTTCAAACCCACCAGTCTCTTTGAGAAAGACGCGCAAGGCTGTCTGTTCCAGTAAAGATTCACAGGCTTGCAAACCCACGGGGGCATGTCTCCCCTATCCCGGAGGGTCACTATCAGCTGGAATTCACTGCAACAGACCCCAAATCTCAGAGAAATTCTCTGACCATCAAAAAAAGTTTTTCTTTTTCCACTCCACCCCCGGCAGCCCCCTTCTTCAGCCCGGCAATTTTGAGTGCTCACCCCACGCTGGTTGTCATGGCAGTCAGCAGAAACCATGCCTGCCCGCCTGCCCACCACCGCAGAGACCTTCTGAGTTAGCTCCTTTGGGGCAAGGGCAGCTGGAGTCCACAGGCCTGTAGTCCGGTGACATGACACCCTTCTGTCTTCTGTGATCCCATCAGGCCCTCCCGGCCTGCTCCAGAGAAACCCCGAGGGCAGTGAGTGCGATGCGTTGGCATAACCCAGGCAGTTACGAAAGCACAAAGCCATTATAAGTTTTAAAAAAGGCAGCGGACTCTAAGGCAGCATCTTAAAATAGCTTTCTTGCTTTGTAGGAGCAGCCACAGAATGTCTCAGCCAACATCTTCTTGGATGAAGAGAAGGTTCAGGGCTCAGCACACACTTAGGGGGAAAGGATGGGAAGAAGAAGGCTGGAAACCCAGTCTTTTACACAAGGGTTTTCACATTTCCGATATTAATTTAATAACCACAGATCCCGGGATGAGATGAGGTGTAACCTTTTTCTGGCGCTTTCTGATATTTCCAATTAATTTCCCTCCTGGTTGCAACAATTTTGGAAAGTCACTACTTTAATACTTAGCCGCTGCCTGCCTGACCCCTGGCTCTTTCTGTTGAGGCTGCCCGGATTCATTTGCTATTTCAATGTTGGTGTGTTTGCTTTCTAATTAACAACAACAATAAAGTAGGTCAACCAGCCAGTGACTGTTTGAACAAGTCCCACATTTTATTTGAAAAGTTCTCGGCGAAGGGCAATTTAGAAATAAATGACAGAGAGCCATACCTGCTCCTAGTCCTGGACTTCTCGTCTGAATCCATGCTTCCCAGTCTTTCTGGAATACAGGCTGTGGCTCACTTTCTTTAGACCCCAACCTATCCCGCTTCTAAAACCCTTACAAGGC